TTTTCACTCTTACTAATTTTGTAATAATTTATAAGTTAAAGTTGTAAGCACGGCTGACGTAAACAGACTGGAGAATGAATACAACTATCATATATGGGTAAAAGTTTACCTTGGCTGGTAGGAGCTTGGTAGACTGGAGAAAAGCCTGATGTCTGTGAACATTCAGTAAGCTGTGGGCACTAATGAGTGTGCTTTACACAGAAGAAGGTAAAACACCGGTTAGGAAGGCTGGTTATGAAGTAGTCATAAGCTGATAAAGTTTCTTACAAAACCATTCCTGGCAAATTTATATTGCATCACATAAGCTATATATATATATATATATATATATATATATATATATATATATATATATATATTTTTTTTTTTTTTTACAGTGCTCAACCTGTAAGCAACAACCTTTATCGACAACGTCAACTGGGGTTTTTTTTTTGTTTTTTTTTTGCTTGCTTTGTAGTGTTCAGAACAGGTACTCTTTCTATAGCTCTACTACGACTTTATTATCGTCTCTATAATCTATTTCCCACCTGGTCTTCTCACTTTGAAATAATGAGTAAGTTCTGCTTTTTTTTTTTTTTTTAAGATTTTATTTATTTACTTGTCAGAGAGAGAGAGAGAGAGCACAAGCAGGGGGGAGCGGCAGAGGGAGAAGCAGTCTCCCCGCTGAGCAAGGAGCCCGACACAGGACTCAATCCCAGGACCCTGGCAGACGCTCAACCAACTGAGCCACCCAGGCGCCCCAGTTCTGTTTGTTGTTGTTTTTTTTTTAATGCACGTAGGGAGCCCTTAGCCAGGCTTTCTAGTTATCTCCATCCTGCTTTTCTGGGATTTTCCTGCCACAGTTTGTCCCACATTTTTATCTATTCCCTGGATCAGCTTTATACCATCTTCTAAGCTGTTTGAGCAGTTTTTCAAAATGTTTTTAGTCAGTCAGGCAGGGGCACCCAGCCATCGGATCAGGGCACTGCCTAATGCTAGAACAGGGTCATACAGGCTCTCAGCTGGGCTATACTTCAACCTATTAGCTACTGGATCATTGGGACATCCAAGGGCTGGATGCAGTAGGAACACTTATGTACCCACAAGTCTCTTAATATCTTATCAAGTACAGCCCAAATTTATATGTGCTGACTGAATATAAGCTAACAGACTGCAGAATTTTCTTACAGTTCTAAAGCACTTTGATTGTGTATATACAGAAGCATGTGGATGCACACATGCACTAAGCTCACTCCCCAAAATTGTTTCTGTTGACAAATGATAACATCATTTTGAACATTGTTTAAAAAAAGTCAGTATGGCTATTTTAGTAGACAAAAATAATTATTTTTAGATTTCCCATCATGGAGGTCCAACATTAACAATTCTACTCTGAAAGTGGTGGTCATTAGGACATATCCTTACTTCTGATGGAGAACTTTGTTTAAAATTGAAATGGTTTTATTTGGGTCTCGTTAACAGCCTGGATCTAATGAAATCATCAGTATATTCTAAATTCAGTGATACACATTAAAAGAAACAAAACAAAAACAAAGCAAGGAGAGCTTTCGAAATTCTCTCTGCCTGAGTAAAAGTTAGAGCTATCATACCAAAGATGTAATAGTACTTTTAAGGATGAAATACCACTTCTGCTCATGCTTCACTTTGACTAGAAATATTAAGTTCATGACAACCATCTATCCTTTCTGGCAAATTCTATATTTTTCATTAAAAAGTATGTTTGTACTCAAGTATTTGTAAGATAAGTAGATATGCCCTCAGGAGTTGGTTTCAAAATAATCCAGTAGAGGAGTGGGGGCTATAGTTAAGTGAGATTGACCGTGTTTCATAAGATGCCGATGGTAAGTACCTGGGAGCACATCCTACTATTCTACTTTCACTGGTGCTTAAAATTTTCCATAATAGAAATATTTTTCTCTTCCATTTTTTGGTTTTTACTTTAGGCATAATCATACTTACGCTTCTAATTCATTTTCTTTCTTTCTTTCTTTCTTTTTTAAAGATTTTATTTATTTATTTGAGAGAGAGAGAATGAGAGACAGAGAGCATGAGAGGGAGGAGGGTCAGAGGGAGAAGCAGACTCCCCGCTGAGCAGGGAGCCCGATGCGGGACTCGATCCCGGGACTCGATCCCGGGACTCCAGGATCATGACCTGAGCTGAAGGCAGTCGCTTAACCAACTGAGCCACCCAGGCGCCCTCTTTTTTTTTTTTTTTTTTAAGATTTTATTTATTTATTTGACAGAGAGAGATAGCGAGAGGAGGAACACAAGCAGGGGGAGCCGGAGAGGGAGAAGCAGGCTTCCCGCTGAGCAGGGAGCCCGATGTGGGGCTTGATCCCAGGACCCTGGAATCATGACCTGAGCTGAAGGCAGACGCTTAACGACTGAGCCACCCAGGCGCCCTAATTCATTTTCTTAAAATGGAAAAGAAAAGATCATTGGGAACAGTATGTATCTAGTTACAATGAAACCAATCTTAAAATAATGAGCCCTTTCCCATAACCATACCCATCCTTAGTTGTGATTGACTCATGGTATTCATTTTTATGGTAATTGGAAAAATTATCTTAGAGTTAACAAAATTTAGAGTATTTCTATTCATAAATTCATTTAACAAATATTCCTGGAGCACCTCCTGTGTACCAGTAACAGTGGGGTGGGCACTAGGGTTATCTGTGGTAAATAAATAGATACGTGTTCAAAATCTTAGTGTGAGAAACAGATATTTATCAAATCTGTGCTGGCTTTTATCTCTTTTCCTATTTGGAAGAACAAGGGGTATAGAATGCCTTATTAAAATTTCCCCAACATTTTGCTTTCTAATAGGAAATACACTTTTTATAGGATTAACATATTTTCACATTACTTCTAAATTAATTTCCATATATAGCTTCTCATCAAAGTGGGATAAATTGATAAGGTAAATTAATTAGCTTTTTGGCACTGGCCTGCTATCTAACATAAAGAAGGTGAAATTATTAATTGCAGAACGGTACCATATAAAAATATTTACAACTTGGTGAGGCAGCTATTGTCGGATCTGGGATTTGATTTTACCCCACTTACAAACTAATACATGAGCCTGTTGCTGTTTCATTTCATTAGTGCTGGCTGAAGACTTGAGATCCTGAATCAGAAACACAGGACTCTTTGACTCATGGCACAGAAAGCAGCACGAGCATCAGCATATTTATATTGGCTCCCCTGTCCCCAAGTCCCCCAGCATGACCCAATATGCTCATTGGGTTCAACGCATACAGGAGGTTTGCATCACAGTTAAAGAACAGTGAACTTGGAGAATCCACTACTTTTTTTTTTAAAGATTTTATTTATTTATTCATGAGAGACAGAGAGAGAGAGAGAGAAGCAGGCTCCCAAGGAGCAGGGAGCCCGATGCGGGACTCGATCCCAGGACGCTGGGATCATGACCTGAGCCAAAGGCAGACGCTTAACCATCTGAGCCACCCAGGCGCCTGGAGAATCCAATACTTTTTAAAAAAAAAAAATTATTTCTTTATTTGAGAGAGAGAAATACTGCAGGAATGAGCAGACTCTGCGCTGAGCATGGAGCCTGATGCAGGGTTCGATCTCACGACCCTGAGATCACAACCTGAGCCAAAATCAAGAGTCGTGAGCTTAACTGACTGAGCCACTACTTTTTAAACAAATAGTAAGCAAGCCTATTCTTTGTCTGGGGGGAATACACTTACCTCATTCTCTCAGAAGAGATTGGAAGTCCAATTCTGTCCTCGACTAGAAACTGGATGGCAAAAAAAGAAAGAAGAAAGAAAGAAAGAAAGAAAGAAAGAAAGAAAGAAAGAAAGAAAGAAAGAGAGAGAGAGAGAGAGAGAGAGAGAGAGAAAGAAAGAAAGAAAGAAAAAGAAAGAAAGAAAGAAAGAAAGAGAGAAAGAAAGAAAGAGAGAGAGAAAGGAAGAAAGAAACTGGACTACAAGACATCTGTACTCGCTCCCAATGCTGGTATGCTAAGGTCTCTGATCAAAAATTGTGTTTTTCTGTTGAGTTAGAAGAGTTCCTAATTCAATCACAGTTTTTAAACAGGTTTATGAAGATAGACTTTTTCAGTGATAAATTTCATGTGATTTCTGGTTCTGAGAACCTCCCTCTGCCTGATGCCAACAACTTAAGGCAAAATGAGTAAAATGCAGTGATTTCACAGATATTCAAGTTTAACACACAGTCAGACTGGGGTCCCCCCCTCCTTCCCTGGGGTTTAAAGCTCTTGTGACTGGCCCAAATGTGGTGGCATGAGTGAGCATGGGGATAGGAAGATGTTCACTTCCTGATCTGCTTAGGGCCGAGGCTGGCTGCCTGTTCCACATTTGTCGTGTACAAGTGGGCCATAGGCAGGATCCCCTTGGATGGACGGTGAAGTCCTCAGAAAAAGAGAAGAGCACAGCAGGTAACAGAAGTATGACCCCACCACACAAAGCTAGCCAAACATTGCTTGGTGATCAAAAGTGCTGGGGTGAGGGATGGAGATAAGACCCCAACTCTTGTGGAATTAAGTCCCTTGTTTTCAGGTTGCTTTTCTCCTATGGGAAGCCAGGCACAAACAACCTATGCAATTTGGGCCTGCCAGGTTTCAGAGCAAAGCAGCATCTAGAAATGAGCTCCTGAACGTTACTCTCAGTGACCAGGAGAGGGCACTTAGCACAAATGAATGAAAAAATCTTGCCAGCAGCGGATTCCTCTTGGACTCTACTACCTGCACTTTACAAATCAATTTATTTCACGCGCCCACAGCAAACGCCTTTTGATCTAAGGATAATTGTGGTTACACATTCTTCTTGGTGACAGTTCGGTTCCCTATAATGTACCAGGTGGCCGAGATACATACAGGACACAGAAACAAATCCATATGAGTAAAAAATAATTTCAGAGGCAAGAATTTATTTTTGGAGACAGTCTCCCAAAATGAACATTTCAGAAGAATTGAAATGTGTTTAAGGAATCTTTCAGAAGAAGGAAAACATACTTACTGAAAACTTCCTGTACGGAAGGACTTCTGATTCATTCTCCCTCCCATTTCTTACACACGTATGTGGCTGGGTTCAGACTGAGCTCAAAGAATTCACCTCTGAACACACTAAAACAGGGGAAATAATATTATTCTATCATAAAACAAAATGGGACGCAATATCTGCCCCCCACCACCCGCCCCACCAAAAAACCCCCCAAAAACTTGAATTCTATGTATTTCCTTTTAGGTCTTGCACAGATATAAACAACAATAAACTGGCCAACCATATTCTTCAGGCATATAATTTTCTTTCTTCCCAAAGTGGACACTCCTTGGGAAAATACAAATAAGTTCTAATTGCAAAGCCCTCAACAGAAAAAGAAAGTAGGCCACCTTGACCAGAGCACAAAATAATCTTTTCCAAGAGCACTTGAATGAGCGCCTCATTACTCAAGGAAAAAATACATACCAAGATTTTTTACTACTTTATTTTGTTACATTTTCAAATACTTTTTATAGCCATGGGGAAAAAAAACCACAACATATTGATGAATCGGTTTCTCCAAAACAAAACCATTATGTCTTTTAATTTTAGCCTGCAAGTTGCTCCCCATCTCCAGTATTTGAGAAATAATAACACTGTTGCAGAGTGTGGCTGAGGGACTCGCTCAGGGACACACAATGTGTCCAACTTTGAGGGTAATATTCCTGCACATGAGGCACTGATTTCACACTATAAAATCATCTACAGATTCCATACTGTGTTTGTCCTACTAGGTATAAAGAAATCTCCATAATCCGAAGTGATAATGGCTTAATTTACATAATAGCCACTGTAACCAACTTTAGTTCAGGAACCTAATTATTTACCATTCAGAGGAAGTACATTTTGCTCTTGGCTGACAATTTTTGTCCATGATATTAGTAATGATAAACAAAGCTCTTATTGAGTGGCTGTTATGTGCCATTATCCTCTCAATCATCTGATAGCTTTTATTGTCCCCATTTTACAGAAGAAAAGACTGAAGGGCTCAGAGAGGTCAAGTAATTATCCCAAAGTATCGAGCAATTAGTGCAGAAGCAGAGAGGGCACCAGTCGGTCAGACTCCTCAACCTTGCTGTCGCCACCACCCCTCACTTCTCCTTAACTGCATATATTATTTTTCAAAATTGAAACATAGATGCCATTTTCTATTCATAGCAATAGTAACTACTTTCCTAAATCTCTATTTTTCAATTTAGGGCAGAAAGGGATTACAAAACAAATTGTGTGTTGCACCTACTAAAAATCCAGAAAGTACGATGAATTCTTTTTAAAAAAATATTTTATTTATTTATTTGACAGAGAGAGACACAGCAAGAGAGGGAAAACACCAGGGGGAGTGGGAGAGGGAGAAGCAGGCTTCCCGCCAAGCAGGGAGCCCAAGGCGGGGCTCGAGCCCAGGACCCTGGGACCATGACCTGAGCTGAAGGCAGACGCTTAACGACTGATCCACCCAGGCGCCCCAAGTACGATGAATTCTTATGATAAAAAGTACACTTGCATTACTAGGTTGAGTACACGATACTTCGTACATTTTTCTGAGACATCTTGTTATTAATAAATATTAAGGCATTTTTTCTCTTTATTTATTTAATTTTCAAGCACAGGTAAAAATCTTGTTGTTACATACAGCCTTTAATGATCTAATAATCAAGTTCTTGAAACAACAATATACGCTCCTCTATGATGAAATATGAATTTCAGGAGGTTTAAGTAGATTCTCTTCAAAATCTGTCCACATGCTTATGCTTGGAGGACCACACAACTTTTTAAATGGCTTTTATACTCTTTATCAAGTTCAAACTAGGTGACGTTATGTGCTTTAGCAAACCCAAGGCCTATTTTTCAAAGATGAGGTACATAACATCTCAGGAGTGCATACAATCCTCGGGCGCCTGGGTGGCTCAGTTGGTTAAGTGACTGCCTTCGGCTCAGGTCATGATCCTGGAGTCCCGGGATCGAGTCCCGCATTGGGCTCCCTGCTCGGCACGGAGTCTGCTTCTCCCTCTGACCCTCCCCCCTCTCATGTGCTCTCTCTATCTCATTCTCTCTCTCAAATAAATAAATAAAAAATCTTAAAAAAAAAAAAGTGCATACAATCCTTTCGAACAGTTTTCCATCTTCCTGAGAGTTACCAGTGTCAAAACAACAAGCAAAGTTTTTCATGTGGTTCCTGGCTGCCCCGGCCATTCCTTGGCAGGAGACTTGGGGAAAATACCCAGAAGATGAAAAGACAAAAGATAGAATTCTGGGGCTGCAAGTTCCCCACCTTGGCTCCTGCGCTCTCCCCCAGTTGTAGCAATCCAACCCCAGCCTAATCCAGGTGTCTGGAGGAGACCGTGTAAGTGGCTGCTCAAGGGTCAGAGAGCCGGGCTGTTGAAGCAGATGCAGGAGACAGGCTTTTCCTGTGTGTCTCCCGAGCTCTTTGTGGACAAGGATGAAGTCCTCCCGGCCAGGACTGGCCTGAGGGCAGCTTAGCTGTCAGGCCCGGTGGGATGTGGCATTCCCTCTCACAAGCCCATCCACCTGTTCTCTTCAAACGTGATACTCCAATGCCGTGAGAAAGGGACTTCACCACATTCTGTTCTGCTGTATTCACCCCAGCTCTGTCCTCTACCTTGGGGGTGCCCCTGGGGTGTTAACAAGAAAGACAGCAGGCTGGGGGGACATGCACCCTAGGAGGACCCAGCCCAGGCTCCAGGTCACCCGAGTGGCAGATACACTGGTATCTGAGAGGTAGGAGAGTAAGGGATAATTATTTTTCTCTACATATCCTTTAACAGTGCCTTTTGAATTTCATGGCATGTGCACTATTTAGGTTAGTCTTTTCCTTTAAAGAGTAGGGGCTTTGCGGTTAAACGGCTCTAGATCAAGTCTCATTTCTACCCGTCTAGACAGATTACTTAACCCCTCATCTGTGCAATGACAATAAGACCCTAAGCAGAAAGTGTTTGCCATTTTTAAAAACGGTCCATCTGAAATAGCAGTAACGAGTTGGTTGTGGTAGATTTTCAGCCGTTCTGACGACATGCGGGACACATGGGGCAGTGGGGTTTCCCGGATGACGCAACAGTTGTTTCTACCACCCATTCCTTTCCCTTCTTTCCGGCAATCACACCCACATATTCCTTTGGAGAACTACCATCTTCCCAATTCTCAAACAATCTGTTTTTGAGTGGACTTGATGCTTGGTACTGGGGATTGACATGGAACTGAGAGCTGACCAACCCGAGCTGCATGCCCTGGTCCTAGTGAGGTAGAAGGCAACAATTAGCAAGATTGTCTTCAACAGACCGGGAACGGTTCTCCTAGGGATTGCACTCCTTCCTGCCCAGACCACACATCCATTGGTCACTGGCTGGGAAGACATTTCCTCTTCTGTGTAGACCCCAACTCTCTTCCGGCTAGCCCCACAAGCACTGTTTTCAAGAAGCCATTTCATTCTTCTATGAGGCCAACTCCTTCTGTGCAGTGGGGTACCCGGTGAGATCTCCAAATCTTGTGAGCATCAGCGCATTTCCTCTTTAGTAAACTTGCAGTGTTTTGAAGTGCAAAGCACTTCTGAGATCAGATTCTACTTCCGGGTCTGGAGGAAATGGGGGAGGTAGGATGGGACACGAGGCAAATTAGCATCCCCAGGCAAAGTGACTACATCGGCAAAGATCACTGGGGGTTTTTAAAGCAGGGAAAGACTAGTACATGAGGTTGGAGGGGCTACATTTGCTGTCACGGGATGGTCGGTGGCTTTAGTTTTGGATAAGCAGAATTTTCCAAATCTTCTCAACGCTCACCTCTCCAATTCTCAGAGCCTTCCTCTTTCCCAAGCAATGCAGTTTCACATAAGAAATCTGGCAAGTCTGTGAATTCAACCTATGCTGTAATTTGAGAGGCCATAGGGTCAGACTGTGTGATTGATTTCTGGCTACCAACAACCCACAAAAGAGAAAATTATTTTAAGGCTAAAAATTCCCTGGTTCCTTCGTTGTAGTGAGCAGAAAATTTAAAGCCCTCAATTTCTCATTTCTTTTTTTTTTCTCTCATTTCTTTTTTTAATCTCTCTCAGTAGCCAGTTTTCCCCTGTTTGTCATGTTACCCTGTGCCATGGCCCTTATCTCTCAGTTATCAAAGCTATCTGGTTTTCATGGAAAGATTTTATTATTCATTTATTTGAGAGAGAAAGAACACTCAAGCAAGGGGAAAGGCGGGGTGGGGGGAGGAGAGAGACTCTTAAGCAGACTCTCTGCTGAGTGTGGAGCCTGAAGCGGGGCTCCCACGACCCCGAGATCATGACCCGAGCCAAAATCAAGAGTCAGACGCTTAAACGACTGAGCCACCCAGGTGCGCCTCAAAGCTATGTTTTCTATAGGCACTTTATTCCAGGTGCCGCGAACTACGATTATTCCATCATTTCATGGTAAGTCAATCCTCATTTCCTTCAAACCCAAGTAGGCTGAATATCTAGCCTACTGTCTCACATGCTGTTATCAATCAAGTTGCAGTCAGAGATAACAGAAAACGCTCTATTTTAAGCAGGAAATAACTTAAATCAGGGAATTAGGTCTTTATAAAATCCTTGAAAGAGATGGAGAATTGGATGCAAGCCCGGCCTCCAGCAATAATTGCAGAATGAGTCTGTAACACTGGCTCGCCAAAGGAACCGTTACCTAGACCGCATTTAGAAAAGCTGGGAAGCTGGAAGCTCTCCCTGGAACGTTTCTCTAGGAACACTTACCTTAGCTGCAGTCCAGGGATCTGGAAGGTACAGCCGTTAGCTCCAGAGCCATCTTGCCCCTCCTGGACTCTGTACTAGCCGTAGCCCCGCAAAGCCACAGAATCGACCCTGCGAGCTTGGCAGCAGGCAACCCCAATTCCCACATAATCACGCTTGCCAGCGAAATCAACAGAAACGGAAGAAAGAGAAACTCTGCCTCGCCTCCGTTTCAGGTTTTGTGCCTCCTATCTGATTGTAGAGACTAATTTTTGAACCCTAGCTTCGGGGGTCTCTGAGAGGTGCAGATGTGAGCTTTCCTACCTTAGCAGTTCAGGAAGTCTTGCCATGGGGAACGACATCCCCCATAAAATCCCAAAGCAAAATTCTAACGCGCCTGAAACAAATGACTTCATTTATTCTTGGATTCGTAATAAATGTAGTTCTTGGATTCTTCACAGTTACACAATGTTAATAAGCTCCGTTCTGAGTCTAGCATCAGCTTAAGCACCATGTTTTTCCCAGCTAGCTGCCATTCTGTTGGGCCTATCCTACTTCTTACGCTTCCTCCTCGATGTGGTCTAGGGCTGAATTCTAAGCAAAGCAAGTCAACTTCGAGGGATTCGTGGACTGAAAAGTTCTCCGAATATCCTTTTAAATCATGTTTAAATTTATTTAAAGTAGTTTTGAAGGTTAGGCTTCATGTCTTAGGGGAAGAGGCATGGAAATATTTCAGATACTACAGATGGAAGGGAGGACTATTATCTCCTTGAGCACTTCTTGTTTGGTTGGTTTACCTGTTTCTTAGAAAATGTGGGATCTTTCTATTTACATTAATGGACAAAGAAGCCAAATAATAGTATAGTAATTTTCCAACATAATGGATATTAAGGTGACTTACGTGCAAGGGAAAAATAGAATGGATGAGGCCTGCTGAAGTCCCTAAACAGCCCCTTGCACATGGAGCCACACTCGCGAAGTCTCCCCTGAGATGTGCACAACCACATCTCGTGGTTTAGGATTTTTAAAGTATGGACTAATCAAACAAGAGAAAAACTTTATACTTTTTCATTGTTTAGGTTAATGGTTTGACTTTTAAAAGCAACAGTGAATTGTTGACAGATATGTTCAATGGATTGAAATAAACAGGGGGAGGAAACAAAATGTACTGTAATCATGTTCAGAACCTCACAAAGGTACAACCGTGAAGAACTCTTTAAAATTTAAAATTATTCTTTAATTGTTCTCTACGTTTGGGTACATCCTAACTAACACTTCAGAGATAAACCAGCCCATTTGCAAAGGAATTTTTTTTTTTTAAGTTACATTTGGCACTCAGGATATACCATTTGCGATTTAGTTGCTTACACCTGTATTCTGCATTTCTTCAGGTTTGCTCCACACACGGCCAAACTGGAAAGAACAGCAAGGAAATTCAGAGAGAAAAATGTCAACGCCTGGATCTGGACACTGGGGCTGAGAACCATGTATTCGGTGGTGCTTGGTTGATCAGTGATGCTGTGGCCCCAGGGTCCCTGTCACTGCCTCAGTTCCTCACAGCATGGGGCTTCTTTCCACTGCATGTGTGTTCTTAAATAACTGACCGCCCTTTCTTAACATGACCTAAGGGTGGTCTTTGTACTTACATATCCAAAAGAGTATAATTTAATAGGCAGTGTACTGCTACAGTATAAAGAACAACAACAACAACAAGAGTAGAGGAAAAAAGGCAGAGAAATGGTTAAGAGAAAGGGAGAATCAAGAGCACAGGCGAGCGAAATTCAATATTCAATTTGAAGAAAACATATACCCCGTTTCTTGGATGTGCTGAGTGAATCCATCCATAAATCTCTTCTTCCAGCATATGGGCTTGACCTACCCACCAACTTTCCAACAGACGAATGTCTCCACCCAACTACTCGTTCCAGAGTTATACTTATTGAGTCAAATGCCTTGGCCATTCTAAGAAAATTCCACAAGTAACAATTACTGTACTTGGCAGGAGGCCTGGTAATACCCGGCTAGGACTTTATTTTTTTATTGATTTAAAAATACATTTCTAAAATATTTCTCAGATTTATTGCTACTTAGGAAAGTGTATTATCAAAATATAAAGTGAAGAATGAACTAGAAGAAGTAATTTAGGCTAATAAGTAGATAATAGTATTCCAAATCGATAGGCTATTGAATTAGAATCTAAATATAATTGAGTCCCTGTCCCCAAATGGCCTATTTTCAAATAGTAAATAAAAGCAGTTGGAATCTTTACGAAGTCTCTTGGTGGGGTAAAATGCCTACAAACGGATCGTGTGTTGTTAATACAAGCCACATGACTTAACATTCTTTTTAATGGATCATTTTCTTACTTCTCAACTCTTTATAAACTTAGCTCGGCCCCTCAACGTGATCTTCCCTCTGCCACCCTCTCTCTCATCTGCCTCCTTATAGAGGAGGGACCCTCCTACCAGTCTCTCCCCAACAGCTAGGGCTGCCTACAGATGCTCTCCCTGCTGCATGACTTTCCCTCTAAGTTTACTCTTGCCCTGGGCTTCGACTGCTTTTCTCGTAAGAATCATCATCCCATCACTCAAACTCTGCTTAGAAAATGAGATCCAACCAGAAAGACTTTTTTCTGCTTGGAAGAAAACAAAGGGTTGAGGGAGACTACGGATATTTGCGAAGTAATTTTCTATTTTCTCTGTTACCTTTGGCCCCATTGGATCTTTATTCACACTACCACGAGGAGAATACCGTATGTATTTGTACAACTCACCACTGCCACGCATCACACTCCGACATGCTTCTCTTCTTCTCTTGGGTCACACGGGCCCCCACCATGTACAGTGGAAAGCGTACTACGCCCACGTCCATCTAAGTTTCTCCTATAAACCTGTAAAGGAAATGCATCAGCAGTAGGATTTTAATGCCCACCCAGGATATTCATTTTCAGTAACATCAGGATGAGGTGATTTTATAGAATTCTTCTTCTTCTTTTTTTTTTTTTTGAAAGAGAGAGAGAGTGCATGCATGCACGAGCGGGAATGGGGCAGGGGCAGAGGGAAAGGGGGAGAGAGAATCTTAAGCAGGCTCCATGCCCAGCACAGAGCCTGATGCAGGGCTTGATCTCACAACCCTGAGATCATGACCTGAGCCGAAATCAAAAGTCAGACACTTAACCAACTGAGCCACCCAGGTGCACCGAGAATTGTTTCTATTACATGGGCACTTGACCCCTAGATGACCTGCACCAACATAATTGAAGCAGTATGGGACCAAACCAACCCACCAAAGTTTTGGGTAATCAGAAATGGTCCAGAAAATTTTTTCTCCTATTCTAGGTACTATAAAATATAGGGAATTGGGTAGCTGAAAAATTATATTGCTGTTAAACAAGGAGGACCCTTCCCAACTTGGCACACCCCTGACAAGGGTGCCTCAGGGTCAGAAACCTCACTTTAAATAAAGCAACCCACTTAGAGAGGCTGAGTCAGCCTTGCCTCATCGCTTCTTCTTCAAGTCCTCCCTAGATCTGGGGTTTAGGCTCTTTCATCTGTAATGCTCCTGCAGGGAAGCTCTTGGCCCACAGCAGCCCCAGTTAACTTCACTAACCACAAAAATTCAGGGAGATTCTGAGCAACTATTGTAAAGTTGATGTCTGCTTAATGTATTCTGAAGTCTAAGACGGTTTAATCATTCTTCCTAATCAATCCTTCCCTCAGGAACTTGAGCCAGGCAATTTTGAGCCTATAACAGACTCTACTGCCCCCTAGAGGAGGACTCACTTCAATGGTTTTCTGTAAGAATGCAAGAGCAGTTTCTACCCACTCACAGTTAGGAACTTGACACATGACCTCCAGCCACTCTCCATCCTGCCATACACTCATTCTTGAGCAGCGAGGAAGTCCACTATGGAAAGGAAAGTACTGTGTGGCTTGGACCCCACTAGACCTATAGAAAACATTTTTCTGTCTCCAAGGAGGTCTCCTAAAGCAGTTCCAAGTCATTTGCTAACCACACCTAAAGTTCCATTTCTTGGGTTCCTGGTGAGACACCTCCCAAGAATTCCTCAAATTCCTAGTAGTAAGTAGCCTGTATCGGTAAATCCAGAAGCTGTTTGACTTCAAGTGTCCCAGTGGAAGCCATGTTCTGAGGACATGAAATTTTTGGAAGGCGAGTGGAGACATTAAAATAATAAAAGCAGGTCTACTATTGTCTTCTTTTCTTTTAGGAAGTGTTACAAGAAATGGAAGAAAAATTCCAAGCGACTGAGAGTCTACTGAGAATGGATTAAAAACCAAGCTCATAGATTCCATCACTACAATGCTACAAAAATCTAGTTTCTACATTAGAGCATCCTGTCTGCCAAATTGACATTTTGCTTCAGTACATCTCCACAATATTTCACTGGCTTTCAGTATTACTCTAAAACTCACTGGCATTTGTTTTGGGACCACTTTCTCATTTATAGCTATTCTGTTCATAGGCAGGCATGGGGTAAGTATTTAGTTCTTACAATTATTATATACTAGCCTCAAAATTCTGAAAAGTAGTCCTTAACATGTAACTTAAATAGAACTTGGGCTCCATACTAACTCAGCAGGATGTCAATTCAATAAATAATAGTCAATCATCCTAATAGCAATTAAGCAATTAGAAACTTTAGTCAGTCTCCAAGGAAAATGCCAAAATAGGGGGTACATACTTAAGACATAGACCGTTTTCTTTTAAAATCTCTTTAGACATCACACAGTCTCAATCTCTAGCCAATATGAAATAAACATTGAATATTTAAGACAGATCTCTGTTCTCAGAAACTAAGTTGGAGTACCATCATGGCAGACAAGTCTTTTTGTTAAAGGTGATTAAGAACGATGCAGCACATTATAGCAGTATTTTATTAGTATTTTCCTTAGTATCACCAGGAAAGTATATTGTTTCTTTCTAGAAATAATCAATTTGATAACACCTGTTTATTTATAAGGAAATAAGTAATATGTGTCAATTTGTTCTCACTAATCACTTATTTAAAACTGATTATTAGTACGAGGTTATAACATAGTAAAAATGTATTGATAAAGAAAACAGTAATTTCTGTTTACATTTATTCTTTGTTCCTATAGCTACTAGTAGGGGATATTTTCCTTTTTTGAAAGCAAGTCTTTAATGGAGACACTTAGAGAAAAGCCTATTTGATTGTGTACATAAGTGTCAACACAAACAAAGTCTGCTGTAGTAATTTGTGGATTTCCTCTGTGGTCGGTTTAAAAGATCGCTAAATGATCATTTAGCACTTCACATATGAAAATATCATCATTTGGAATGCAGCTGGAGTTGCTCTTAGCAGGGCTCTGTTATTTCCTAGGACAAGTCATAGTATTTTTAGGAACCCTATCTCAGTGCTCATGCATGCATTTTGCCACATAAACTTTGCAATTTAATGTTAAATCATTGTAAATTTCCTTCTCCTCATCTCATTCACAATCCACCACACAATTATTGTTGAGCTGCCCAAAGGCCGTTCTCAACAAAGGGCAGTGTGTAAAATATCCAGAGTTCCAAGAAGATGTGAGTAACAGCTCAGTTAAACGAATTATTCATTTTATAAATGAAAATTTCCATAGGATAACTCTGAAATTCTTTAGTCTAACAGAAAACTGCTTTGTTTACAATTAAGTTACCCTTACCCTTTTTAAATTAAGAAACATGTAGATACTGGTAGATGTCAGTGTGAGAGCCTGACTAAATCCACTTTGGTGTGGTCAAGTATTGGGCAAGATTTCCCATTCACCTCCGCCAAGACCCTGTCACTTCAGTGCGATTAAGGTTCCAATTGCTTCAGCCCAAGACCCCTGGAGCAGACGCTCTGCTCTTCTGGTTAAATTATGCCCATTTCTCTCCCAAGTGAGTAAATATGTAAGTTCCCATTCTGAGACAACTGAAGTGACTTTTCATTTGGCACACTGATTCTGGGAGTGTAATACATGTTTGTTGAAACCATACCAGGCTGGGACAAAGTATTTTTATGATTACTACTTATTAACATGTATTGAGAACAGATACTGTACTTGGTCCACACACAATACATAAAGAAAGTCATCATTCCTACAGATGGAAATAAACAGCTTGGATGAATACACTGATGAAATTTATACCCTTATGGAAATGATAGTTCAGTTGGAAAGACAAACACTGAACACATAATTTGGGCAAGGCCAGCTTTACAAAGAAGTGTGGTATACTATGTATGTGCAAAAGACAAGGAGCTGACCTTGTCTTGGGGTTAAGGGAAAGTCTCCAGAAAGAAATGACCTTCAACTGAGATTTGAAGAAATAGATCAAGTTGGCTAGCAAAAGAGAATAGGAAAGAGTGGTTCACGTAAAAAAGACCCTGATGGGAGAGGGCATGACAGTTTGGTCTGGAAATTGCAACAAACAGCAGGAGTGTAAAGGAGGTAGGGCTGTGAGGAGAAGGGGTTGGGGGTGCCATTGAACCTGCAGAGGTAGGCAGGAACAGCATCCATTAGGCCATAGCATGGGTTTTCTTCTTTATCTTAAGGGCAGTGAGAATCTCCTAAATCATTGTAACAATAGGAATGGCACAGTCAGAAGTATGTAATGAAATTATCCTGGCTGCTGTATGGAATATGTGAATGGTGTGCATGGGTAAATGTGGGGAAAATGGTTAGGAAGTTATTGCCTGAGGGAGAGATAACTGGTGACAGGGACAGGGTGTTTGAAATGAAGACGGGGAGAGGTAGAAATGCCTAAAAACTTAAAGCAGGTCCAATGGACCATTTGGTGGGTTGGATACTGAGTTAAAAGACTGAGCGACCTGAGGGATGACTTCCCTGTTTCTGGACTAGCCAGCTGGGGATATGGTTACTAAGATGAATGACAATAAAGGAAAAATTATGGTGCAGAAAAATAATGTTTTGGACATATTATATGTTAAAAGTTTGGGAATAGATACATATGTATTAATGTATTATTAACCATACATTTAAAAATTATTTCCTTCTTATCCAGAATTAAACACAACTCTCATACATACAAATATTGCTCCTGTCTCCTCTTATGCAACCCTTTTGTCGATTCTATGATGGGTTAAAATTATTTAAAAAGTAAATAATATACCTTACAATATTTTTTATCTTTTAGCCTTTTATGAATTACTATAATTAGTTGAAAAGTATTAATATCTGAGATTAAATAGCAAGTGAATATTTTTGAAAATATCTGGTTATTTTCAATATTGTGATTATGTGAAATGAATTATTCATGTTCTTTTCAATAGGTTTTTTTTATGGTTGAAATTAGTTTCCCTAATAAAATGATTCATTCACAGATAGAATAAAGGATGTATCCTATATATTTCTGAGACAAAGATATAACTGAATGTAGCTGTATGAGTGATCTCATGTGAAAATAGCGGAAGAACCACTCACCTAACCCAAAGAATTGTGAAATAACCTAGGTTCTTTTAAGCACAATGTTTTGGGATGGTTTGTTATATGGCACTAGTTAACTGATATGGTATTGTTTTTTTCATTACCTATTTTCTAAAATTGTTTACATAAAATCATTCTGGGTATTTCTTGACCTTTTCTTTCTTTTATTTACATCCACCACACCTCTTTTGCTGTCTCTTGGTATTCTCCTCCTTAATGAAGAAAAGTTTTTAAGAGGATATAAAGTCAATATATAAAATCAGTTGTATTTCTATAAACTAGCAACAAACAACAAGAAAATTAAGTTTAAATATTTTCATTTATAATAAGCTCAAAACACATAAAATACTTACGAATAAATTAAAACAAAAGATGCCTAGCTTCTATACTGAACATTACAAAACATTGCTGAAAGACATCAAAGAAACTCTGAATAAGGGGAGTGATATACCATGTTCATGGATTGGTAAATTCATATTATTAAAATGTAAGTGGTCCCCAAATTGATCTATAGATTCAATGTAACCTCAATCAAAATTCCAGTTGTATTTTAGGTAGAAATTAACAGGCTATTTCTGAAGTGCATGTGGAAATGCAAAGAACCTAAATTGAACCAAATATTTTTAGTAAAAAAATAGAATATTGAAGGACTTTCACTATATCTAGTTTCAAGGCTTACTATCTACAATAACCAAGACAGTGTGGTACTGGCATAAGAATAAGTAAACACATCAGTGAAAAATAATAGGAAATCCAGAAAGAGGCCTATACATATAAGGTAAACTGATTTTTGATATAGCTGCCAAGGGGCATCTTAGAGAAAGAAGAGTCTTTTCAACAAATAGTGCTGTCTCAATTGGATATCCATGTGGAAACAAATAAACCTCAACCCCTATCTCACACTATACCCCAAAATATTTTTAAATGGATCACAGACCTATAGATAAAGTTACAAAGCTTTCAGAAGAAAACATTGAAGATACACACTTGTGAACTTGGGCTAGAAAAAGATTTCTTTGACAGGACACAAAAAGCACTAACCATAAAAGAAAACAAACTGGTAAACTGGATTTTATCAAAATTACAAACTCTTGTTGTTCAAAAGACATCATTAAGAAAATGAAAAGATAAGCCTACACACAGAGAAAATATTTGTAATACATATGTCTCACATAAATAAGTCTGTGTCCAGAATGTATAAAAACCTCTTACCCCTCAATAAGAATATTAAAAAACATTAAAAATTGGCCAAAGATCAGAATATATATTTCACAAATGTGTAGCATATGAAAAATAGCACATGAAAGATATGCTCAAAATCATTAGTCACTAAAGAAATGCAAATTAAAACGACGATGAGATACCACTTCACAGCCAATGGCTAAAATGGAAAAAGACTGAAATATCCAGGGGTTGGCAAGGATGTGGAACAACAGGAACTCTGTATGTGGCTAGTGTGAAGGTAAATAATACAACTACTAATAAAAAGATTTTATAATTTCTTGTAAAATTAAACATATATCTACATATACTACATATATATATATATATATAAACACATACTCTAAAGATGCAACAATTCTGCCCCTAAGTATTTACCAAAAAGAAATGAAGAATACATGCATAGAATAATTTATAGATGAATGCTCATAGCAGCTTTATTCATTAAATAGCCCCATCTGGAAAACATGTAATTTCATAGCATGAAATACTACTCACTAAGAAAAACAAATGAACCTCTGATTAAGCAACAACACGTATGAGTTTAACAGACATGCTGAGCAAAAAAACGGACACAAAAGGGTACCTTCTGTATAATTCCCACTTACATGAACTTCTAAAGGAGATAAAACTAGTCTAAGTGGAAAAAAAAAAATCAGAGCTGTGGTTTCCTGGGCAGGGGTGGAGTGGGCTTATGGGGAATTTATGAAATAATATGGAAATAATCTGTGTCTTCATTGTAGTGCTGGTTTCGAAGGCATATACACATTTGCAAAAATTCTTCAAGCTGTACACTTGAAAACTATACATCTTATTTTATGTAAATTATATCTCAATAAAGTTTATTTTTCATGGAATGTTCCTGCCCCAAAGTAACAAAATAGGCACATTAAAAAGTAAAAAGAATGTCTCCGTTTCAATGTTTAGAGAAAGTCTTTTTGCATGATTGTCTGTATACAAAATAGTCTTTGTTGACATCGAAATTCGAAATTCGAATACCCAAGTACCAAGTAGTAACAATAGTCTTCATCTACATAGTGCCTAATATAAGCTAGATTCTCTGCCATACACTTAACAACAATCCTGCAAGGTAGGTCTTACTATCTTTATTTTTGGTTGAGAAACTTGAGTCTCAAAAGAGTTAAGGAACTCGTCCAAGAACTCCCTGTTAGTAAACAGTAGAGGTAAGAGTTTCTCCAAGGACTGTCTGTCTCTATCACCCTACTACATGTCATCTTCCAGTTGACTTGTATAT